GCAGCTCATCCTGCAGCCAGCCCACAGCAGCCTCATGTATGAGGCAGCAAGTCTGGCCCCTGCAAAGCAGAGACCCCCAGGCCCTCGAGCCCCAGCCACCCAGATCGGTGCAGGGTAACAGCACAGTGGGGTCCCATCCCCTCACCTTGCCTCCTCCCTGCGCAACCACGCCACCCCGGTCCTCTGCCTCCTCCACCAGTGCCAGGAACACTCTGGGGACAAAGTGGGAGCAGCTGGAGCACCCAGACAGCTGCAGGGGGCCCAGGCTGCACCAGACTCCTGGACATTCCCATTACTGTCCAGGAGCCGTCATTCACCATGGACACGTAAGCTGGCCAGCAGGATGCCAGCAGCCTGGGAACCCAGCTCCCTCCTGTCCCTTGGCACACCCATACCTGGAGATCAGCTCCCGACAGGAGTTGGTGAGCGCCGGGTTCTCACTTTTTACCATGCAGGCCAGGGCCGACACCACGCCGGCCATCAGCAGCTTCCGCACGCGCCGCTTCACGAACTCTGGCTTGTCCTGTCCCACAGGCGGGGTCACAGTTGGCTCAGGGGCACCAGCTGGCCGACGAGGTGCCTGACCTCACCCCTGAGCACAGCCATACCCCACTCACCTTGGGGTGCTGCTCTGGAATGTGCTGCTTGGCGTACTTGGCCAGCTCCAGCATCTGCGGGTCCGGCTCCTCATGGTCGTAGCTGTTGGTGCAATTCACCAGCGTGGAGGCGACAGCATAGAGCACACTCCTGTCCTCCGACTGCAGTGATAACAGTCACACATCACACTCGTGGCAGGGAGGAGCAGCCAGGGCTGGAGCCCACCCAACATCTTCCACATACCCCACCCCACAGCGTGAGCCCCACACTCCTTCTGGCATGTTTCCCTGGTGTCAGGGTGCCCACCCTGAAGTGCTTGGCACATACCTTGGCCAGGTGGAACATGGCCTGCATTGCTGCCTTGTCCTCCACAAACTCCTCCTTGACATCTGCATCAAAGGTGAGGTAGGCCAGGCCTTCCACAGCCCAGCGCCGTGTGCCTGCGTCGATGGCCTCATTGCAGAGCCACCTGGGAGAACAGTCCTTGAGCCCAGCTGCAGGAGCCCGTCTGTGAGGCACCCTGCCCACTCCCTCCGCACCCGGCCCCACTCACTTGCGGCACTGCTTGGCCAGCTTCATGGTGGAGCCCTCGGCAAACTGCTTCATGCTGAAGTCAGTGCCGCCAGCAGATCCCAGCTTGCAGAGCCCCTGCAGACAGGACCAGAATGTGGGAACAGGAATGGGCACGAGCACCCCAGTGTGCCTCCCAGACCCCAGGCAGGGAAGGGCAGTGCTGTGAGTGGTGGTCCTGCACCCACAGCCCGCCCCGGGGCTCATCCCCGCTGCTCCTCCATCCCGCCGCACTCACCACGAGCGCACGGATGCGGATGCTGTCCCTCTCGCTGTGCTTGTAGATCTCCTTGAGCAGGCTGACGCCGTTGGCTGTGATGAAGGAGGCACGCTTGGCCTTGTCGGCCGCATGGATCAGCGCCTCCACCGCCACCAGCTGGTGGGCCTCACAGACAGAGGCACACAGGGACAGCACGCTGTCCATGATGCCCTCCAGCTCCAGCACCCTGTTGCCTGCGTCCAAGGGGCCCTGCAGCAGGCAGGACACCGTCTGGATGGCCCGCAGCTTCCCCAGCAGTTCGTGCCCCTCGAACCAGCCCCTGTGCACAAAGACCACAAAAAAGGTCAAGCTGATCCCACCTGCTGCCCCCTGCCCCACCTGCTGAATACCCCCACAGTGGGTCTGCAATTGACTTTAGCACTGAGGGTGACAGGTGCTACCAGGTTGCAGGTGACCGAACCCCCGAGCCCCTGGGACCTCCGGCTCACCTCACGTAGTCCTCGCACAGGTGGTGGAAGTTTTCCCTCTCGGCATCACACTTCAGGTCCTCGTACAGTTTGCTCAGCAGGACGGAGGCACTCATCCGGCTGTTCTCTGTCACAGGCAGGCTGCCCGGGCTGCCGCACACCGTGCTGCCCACCTCCAGGATCTTCTTCAGGCCTGGCAGGGGTCAGACACCCTGGTGAGGGGCACATTGGTGTGTGCAGAACCATGGCAGAGGGGCACAATGCCCCAGTGGGATGCTACTGGCCATTCCGCTCACCCTGGTCAATCACCCAGAGGCTCATGCTGTTGTTGGTCTCCTTTGGTGACTTTCTGGGCACCACCTTGATAAGCAGGTTGAGGGCATTGTCACGGCCGTGTGCTGAGGCCCCTTCCAGTGCCAGCAGCTCCAGGAGGTGCTTGATCAGCAGTTTCAGGTCCCTAGAGGAATCTTCCAGAAGAGATAGTGCCCAGCAGTCAGTGCCTTGGGCACAGCCTCACCCCCACTGTTGTACAGCTGGCAGAGACGCTGCCATGACCAGGGACTTCTGCCTCCTGTTAAGCCTGGACCAAAGCCTGGCTTTGCCACAGGGAGCAGTGACAGGGTGGACAGCAGGAGAAGAGCCCACAGCAGCTCTGCACTTCCCTGGGACTGTCCCCTCCCACCAGCCAGCAAAGGCTGCCCACACTCACCCAGCACCACTGCGTCCTCCTTCCCACGGAAGTCCTTCTGCAGCCCCTCCTTCAGGGAATCGAACATCACATGCAGCAGGTTGCAGGCAGCCAGGGACACCTGCTCGTGCTCCACACCCAGCACTGCCGAGAGACGAGGGGCCCCCAGCTCCGCCAGGATGGCCGAGGTCTGCAGGTACAAGCACACCTGTCTGCTGAAGGCCCTGGGGAAGCCTTGGCACTTACCAGCCCCTTATCAGGATTCTTCCCTCTTACAAACTCAGGCCTGGCACGTGACAGCTCAGAGCTCCCCTGTCTGACACTTTACAGCCTCCCCAGCGTGGTTCTCCCCGGGCACAGCGGTACCTACCCGGGAGCGGTGGCCGGAACACAACCCCACCAGCGTGCGCAGGGCTGCCAGCATCAGGTCGGCCTTGGCCGTGTCCAACAGCTGCGTCAGCAGCCGCACACCATCGCTCTGGAAGATCTTCTCTGCTCCGGCCTCCTCTCGTGCCAGCACGATCAGGTTCTGCACAGCCTGGGAAAGGGAGACTCCTGTCTAGATCACGGGTCCACCGAACACAGGAACCCCCGGCAGCCGCAGGCACCCGCCCTCCACCGTCTCAGGGAGCACATTCCGCAGGGGGGAGCCTGGTCTGCCCAGGCAGCACCGCTAATCCACTGTGGACCTGGGAGCACTGATCCTGCCCTCCTCACCTCCCAGCCACAGCGCTACCCCTGCTCCCTGAGCTCAGACCTTCTGCTTCTTGTCCGCATCCTCTTCTTTAGGATCCAGCAAGATCTGGAACATCTGCTGTACCTTTGAGTCCGTGCAGGACATGGTCTTCATCTGAGAGAGAGCAGAAAGAGCAACTCAGCCCTCCTTGCTTCCCCCAGCTGTTCACAGCCACAGTCCCCCAGCTGTCCGGCAGTCCCCCACTGTCCCCACCACTGACCTTCTCGTGCATGCTGCTGCCCAGTGCACGCAGGGCCTCCTGGAAGGCCTTGTTCCTGGGCTCCAGGCTCACACACCGCTGCAGGTCACCGACGGCCTGGTCCAGGCGGCCCAGCTGCTGCAGCGCCTGGCTACGGCGGAACAGCGCCTTCACGTCCCGGCCGTCGGCCTCAATGGCTGTGCACAAGAGGGTCTGTCGCAGAGCCCGCAGCCTGCCCTGGCCTGCCATGGTGGGCAGCACAGAGGCCAGCCCCCCTCAGCCCCACTGACAGTACCTTTAGTTGCATCGGCCTCCGCCTTGGCGTAATCCTCCTGCAGAGATTTGGGAGAGGCAAAACCTGAGGGCTGCCCAGGCAGGCCCCACATAGACCAACACCCCCCGTTTTGGGGAGCAGGGACAGGCTGGGAACACCGTCACTGCAGACTGTGAGCCAGCCCAGCGGGACACCCTGTCCTTCCCAGAATGCAACCCTCAAGGGATCCCTGTGGAGCCCTAGAACCCCCGATGCTTTTCAGGTGCTTCTGGTCTACTCGGGCCCCTGAAACTCCTTGTGTTCCCTCCTTGCCTCAGAGACAGTTCCCCAGCGGGGGATCAGAGATGCTGTGACTGCCTCGGGACAGCCCCAGGGCACATGCACAGCCCAGGCACAGACGGGAGCATCCTGGCCCCCACAGCCCACCCGGGAGGTGGGGCAGCAGGGGACAGCGGGCAGGGACAGGGGAAAAGGTGAGCAGAGACAACATCTGACAGTGCCCTGTCTGGGACCAAGAGCATTCTACTTGGGGACCGACACTGCCCCCGGCGCAGGGAGCGCCTGGCCAAGGCAGACAGCCCCAGCCGGCCGGGCAGGTTCTGCGGGGCCGCCCCGCCCCGCGCTCACCAGTTTCAGGTAGCAGGCGGCCCGGTTGCGGTGCAGCACAGCGCGCTCCGGCGCGGCGTCGCTCAGGCTCAGCGCCTCCGTGTAGGCAGCGAGGGCCGCGCCGTGGTCCCCCGCCTGGAACAGCGCGTTGCCCCGCGCCCGCAGTTGCTCCGCCGTCATCTGCCGACGGGAACCGGTTGGGACGCGGCCCCGGGCCCGCATCAGCGGCTGCCCGGAGACGGGCCAGGGATCCCGGGACAGGGAGCCCCCGGGACAGAGAGCCCCCGGGACAGAGAGCCCCCGGGACAGAGAGCCCCCGGGACAGGCACCCGCCCGCCCCAGCACGCCGGTCTCGGCCCCGGGCCCCCCCGGTCCCGTCCCGGTCCCGCCCGTCCCCGCTCACCGGCTCCTCCATCGCGCTCGTGACGTCACCGCCGATCGCCCGGGGAACCCGGACGCCACCGCCCGTGTCACGTGACGGGGCGGGGCCGAGCCTGCAGCGCCGCCCCGCGGCCCGGCGGTCCCGGCAGCTGCCGCCTGCGGCCTCGTGCGCGTCCCCGCCCGTCCCCCCGGACACCCCCGTGCTGCACCCCGGGGCCGAGTGCCACCACCCCTGCACCCCTGTCCCACCCGCGGGACCCCCTCAACAGCCCCGGCTGGGGCTCAGGCTGGGGGCACCGTGGGAAGGCTGGGCACGGGGCAGGTGCCCTCCCCGGGGTCTGCAGGGTGGGCAGCGGGCGCAGGGCAGGAGGCGGCCGAGGTGGCAGCGTCGGGTCCAGTAGAAGTGGCAGAGGTCGATGGCCATGAGCAGCAGGACAAGGAGCCCGTAGAGCCCAACGAAGGGCAAGGCCAGTGGGTTCCTGCGGGGGGGGTGCACTTCAGGAGGGGGCAGCCATGGCCCCCCCCAGCACAGCGGCACTGGGGAGGGCCACCCAGGGCCCAGTGTGGGCTCCAAAGGACATCACAAGCCCAATGTCAACAGTCACGGGAAGTCCCTGGGGCTGTGCTGGGATCTCCGAGCAGCACACCCAGCACACCCAGCCACAGTCCTGCTCACCGGAGTAGCTCAGGGCTGGCCAGGCTGGAGAGGTTCACCCCGGTGAGGGCCTCCAGGGCCAGCTGGGAGCAGCAGGACTTGAGGGCGCGCGGGCTGGGCTGGCAGCAGTAGCGGTAGCCGGGGGGGTCAGTCAGCCGTGGGCAGTAGAAGCCAGGGTGGGAGCGGCCGTCACGGCCAACGTAGCCCTCGCAGAGGTGCAGGTTCTGCACTGAGACTGGGGCGAGTAGCAGGGGCTTGGAGAGGGCCAGGAGGGAGTCCCCACTGCATGAGCCACAGAGCCACACGGTGCAGGCAGGACAGGCTGCCAGCTCCAGCAAGGTGGCCCTTGCCACAGAGCAGAGCCTTCCCAGTCCCAGCAGGGATGAACTGGAGCTCACTAGCCCCAGGGGACCTGGCTAAAATGACACAGGGACCCTTGGCTCAGCTCTCAGCGTGGGCTTCAGCCCCCCGGCAGTGCCTGCTGGCAGCCATGGCTCTGTGTGTGCCGTGACCACCAGTGCTTGCCATGGCCTCAACAAGGGCAAACATGGGTGAGGAGGGTGATGGTGGCAGAGGGGAGGGGAAAGCCCTCGGGGACATCAGGTCAGCCCCCATCTCCATGCTGAATCTTTCCCTGTTCCCCATGACCCCACAGGGACAGCACTTACACCCCACAGATGTGCTGCAGTGGGACCAACCCCAGCACCACCACACCTCAGCCACCATCCCCAGCATGAACCGCCACCTCCCACTGTGGACCACTGCCTCCTAGCACAGATGCCCCCAGCCTCTGTTCTGGGCTGTCAGGGAGCAACCCCCAAGGGACAAAGCTTCATCAAGGATGGGGAGGACAGGTTCAGGGAACAGGAGGGGCAGGAGTGGGGCTGTACCTGTCCCAATGATGCTGGGGAACAGCGCCGTGGTGAGGAGCAGCTGGAGCAGGAGCCCACCCAGCATCATCCTGGCCGACCCTGAGCAGAGGCAGCTCTGGCTCCAGTGGAGGCAGAAACCACAGCCACTCCTGCTCCCGCCTCCATCGCAGCCCATCAAGAGCCACTCAGAGCCATTAGAGCCTCCTGCACTCACTCAGGCTCGGTCCACAGGGACCAGGGTGGAGGCGGGAGCATCAGTAATGAGCTTCTGGGGCCAGGAGCAGGACGGGCCAGGAGCTCCTTCCCCACCCAGCCACGGATCAGCAGCCACAGGGTCCAGGGCCCTGGTTGGGCACCAGGGCCCATCCCAGGATCCAGGAGTTATGGCGAGGGCCCTGGGCCAGGCCAGGGCATGGGGTGAGTGCCTGGCACCAGGTGGGGGCAGGTCACCTGTGCTGCAGTCCCTCGGCACCCACTCCCTCATCACCCAACCCTGGGCAGAGCCCTGCACCAGCCCCCTGGCCCCCTGCCAGCCATGACATTAGCCAGGCTCCAGCAGAGGGTCCCCATGCCAGGCATCCTCCGGGTGCTGCAAAGGGCTGAGCTGCTGGGGCTGGTCCATGCTGGCTCTGTGAACTCAGCCCCTTCCAGGGCTGTGGGATGCAGGACCATGGCCGAGCCTGTAGCACGCAGAGGTGCCGAAGGCTGTGCAGGAATCATGGAAGCACAGAATCATTTAGGTTGGAAAAGACCTCTAAGTTCATCGAGTCCAATGAAGCCAGAGCTGAGGCAGCTCCCCTGCCTCCCCCTGCAGCCCTCCCCGCTGGCAGTAATTAGCCCCAGGGGCCAGGGACCTCGCAGCCCCTGTGGTTCCCACAGCAACCAGGAGGATGCTCTGGTGAGGTGGCATCAGCACCTGCACCTCAGCTGCTGCAGCCTCAGCAGAGACTGGACTGCCAGGCTCACACTGAAACAGGGCTAAAGGCTCTGGATCTGGGAGAGGCCATTGCCATGCTTCCCCCCATTGTTGCTGCCAGCACAAGGAGCTGCCTGACTCCTGTCCCCCTGGCTCCTGCTGCCAAGCATGGCTGGGCCTGGCTATGCCACCAGCCTCTCACAAGTGCCCAGGGCCCGACACCCAGCTCAGGATCTGGGAGCACTGGCAGGGCAGGGACCTCAAAGAGCAGAGGACAGCACAGCTCTGGCAGCCCACGAGCACACCCAGACTGACCCTGGCCCCGAGCCAGACTCCCCACCTTGGGTGCTGCCCTGTCTCCCCATGGTGCACTGTTCCCACTCACCTGCACGGGAGGCACAAACCACACACAGACTGGGCCCTTGGAAACAGCCTCGTGTTTCCTACGAGCTCCAGGTGAGCTCAGTCTCTAGTCCACAGCACCTCTCCAGGCAACTGCCCATCACCACCAATCAGCCCCATGCTGCCCCACTAGGCCAGGGGAGCCCAGCACAGGCCCCTGCCCCAGCCCCTGGGGTGGCCACACTCCCGGGCAGCCTGTGAATATGGCAGGGCAGCAGTGCCCATCCCACCAGCAGCAGCAGAGCCTGGCCTGCTGCCCCTGCCAGCTGTGCTCAGCCCACCCAGCACCACATTCCGCAGCCTCCGCCCAGCCCCGGCCACAGCAGTTCATTCCAAAATCTATCTGAGAATGTGGGACTAATAAATTAGAAGGCAGCAGCAGCCTCTGCAAGTCCGGCGCCTCCTGCCCGCGCCCACCACAGTGCTGCTGGCCCTGCTCTCCTGCAGTGCTGGTGCTGCTCCCACGCTGCCCAGCCACTCTGCTCCTCTCCCGCTCCACACACTACCCCAGGCGGATGCGGAATGTGGCTATTTCCATGGGGTCCAGGTAGATGTTGGTGCTGTTGGAAGCCGTGCCCAGTGGATACATCAGCGTCAGTGAGGTGGGCTGCAGGGAGCCCAGCTCCAGGCCCTGGAACAGGCCTCCCAGGACCAGCTGGGGAGAGAGGAGGGAGAAGAGAGGAGGCCTGGGTGCTGCCTCTGGTGCCTGGGGCAGCACTGTGCCCAGGGCAGCCTGATATGTGGCATGCCAGCCGTGCCGAGGTCCAGCCTGGCTCTGACTCAGTGTGGGCGTGGGGCAGCCTAGCCCTACCTTGCCCTGGCTGGTAGTGCAGTTGAAGCCCAGGTTCTTGGCCTCCAGGCTGCAGTCAAAGCCTTTGCGGTGCAGAATCAGCGCTGCCTCGGTCGAGGGTAGTGAGTCGTCCTGGGGGAAGCCAGGGCGTGAGGCACAACAGTGCGGACAGCAGGGCAAGAGCCCCCCCAGAGTCCTGTCACACCCAGGCTGTAGCTCACTTCTGCCTGCAACATCCGCAAGTTAAGGATGTGGAAGTCGCAGGGGAGGGTGGTGGCAAGGGGCACGAAGGAGCGCAGGGCTGGCACGGCTGACTTCTCCAGCGCCACCGGCATGACCAGGGCCTCGGCATTCAGGTGCATGGAGGTGATGTGGCTCAGCAGGGAGGGGAAGCTGATGGGGCGTTCGTCCTGCACCTGCCGAGGAGCACATGGGTCAGTATAGGCCTGGGGAGCTGCGGGGCCAGGCAGAGCCTGGGCAGGGCCCACAGAACAAACCACTGCTCCAGCAGTGCCCCGAGACCAGGCACCTGCGGGCATGGGGCACCCAGAGCTGCCCCCACCCAGGCAGGACTCCCTTCCCCAGCACCCAAACAGGACCCCATCTAGCTGATGCTCAGACTACGGACCTGCTACGGGCCTGGCTAGGCTAATGGCTAGCAGCTAGTGCACGAGACAGGGAGAGACAGCAGGGCCAGGCCGGCCATTACCTCAGGGCTGCCAGTCCTGGTGCCAGGGAAGCCCAAGGCTTTAAACATGGAGACCAGTTTGGAAAAGAAGCCGGAGCTCTGAATGGGTGACATGGCGCAAGCATAGAGGGCAGCGAGGGGATGGGACAAGAACACTGTGATTACAAGGGCAACGCGGCTCCACAGGGACAGATCCCACTGCACAGGTCCCACCCTCCCCGTGCCCCTGCTCCAGGCCCATCCCTGCCTAGAGCCAGCGCAATGGGACAGGAGGGGAGCAGATGCTGCATCCCATCACACGTGTAGCTTTCTGCAGGTGCCTCCACCCTGCTCCATCCCAAGGCAAGGCTGGGCATTCCCATCCTGTGGCCTCACAGCCCAGGCACCTTGTTGGCAGTGGTGCGGCGCTCCAGGAGGAGCCGGAATCGGTTGCAGGTTCGCTTGTTGTCCTTCAGCCCCTGGCCCAAGCCCCGGTTGTCATCCTGCATGAGGCGCCGGTCCAGGATCACCTCCAGCTGGCCTGTGAAGAGTGGGTCCCCATGCCCCAGGCTTTACCAGGAGCCAGCCACCCCCCATGGTATGGAGCTCCCAGAGACAACACGACCAGAGCACCCTGTGCCCAGCCTGCAGCACCCTCCTCCCCTATATCCCTCGGGGAGGGGAGCCCCAGCTCTACAGCAGGTCTCCAAGGCATAGGCCTCCGAGACACAGGCCTCCATCTCACCACTGCGGAGGCTGGAGACTCCCAGGGCCTGGGCTGTGAGCAGCGTCAAGCGGCTCTGCATGTCCTGGATGTAGGCCATGGCAGGCATGGGGTAGAAGTTGGCCTGCAGCGGCAGCTTCCGCTGGTACCTGCGTGGCTGGATCTGTCAAGGGACAGAGGTCAGTGGCCAAAAGTGGCTCCCACAGTGCCCAGCGCTGGGTGTCGGGGAACTGTCCTGCTGTGGGCAGGTGCTGTCCCTCCCTAGGCTGCCGCATACCTGGAAACCATTGAGGTCTGTGAAGAAGGTGTTGTCACTCTCAATGTCGGTGCTGAGGCGCAGGGCCAGCTCCTTGTTGATGTGGTCACGGATGTCCACCAGGCAGGACACATCCAGGGACAGGCCCTCCACCCCTGCAGGTAGGCAGTGAGGGGCTGGGCCCCACAGGCAGCATTGCCCAGCACCACTGGGCCAGCAACACCCCAGCACCACCTCAGGATCTCACCTGGCACATTGTACAGCCGCACCGTGGTCTGAACGTGCTCGTAGTAGCTGGCAACCTCTGAGAAGAGGGGTCCCTCCGTCACCCGCACCACTGGGGGGTTCTTGGGGGCATAGGGCTGGGGGGAAGGAGCGCTGTGCTGAGGCTGCTGCCTGAAGACAGTCCCACAGGCACAGCTGCCAGCTGGCTAACAGGACAAACCCTATACCTTGGCTTCTCCATCAGGCAGGAAGAGGTAGGCCCCACTTTTGTCCTTGGAGGTCCTGGTGCCGTAGACAAGGAACTCGCTGCTCACTCTGTGCCCCTGCTCCTCTCCAGCTCCGCGTATGCTCTGTAGGTGCAGACCAGCACAGCCATGAATGCAGAAGGCAGCATGGTGACCCCCTCCCCTCCTCCACTCCAGAGCCCCACATTCACCTGCAGCAGGCCCGAGTGCCCTGAGAAGCAGGCCTTCAGGTGCTGGTTCTCCAGGCAGAAGTCATCGGCAGCAGCCGGGAAGACTTGCAGGGGCACGGCCTCAGGCTTGCGCACAGGCAGGTCCCGACCGTGCAGGTACAGGCGCGTGGAGGACCTCAGCGTGGCATGGCTGTCCAAGGACCTGTGCAGCTGCAGCACACGCAGCCCCAGCGCGGGCAGGCGGGCCAGCACAGACACCTGCAGGCAGTATGGGGACCTGAGCCAGCCCCCCGTGCCTGGGGACGGACTGGGAGCCAGTCGGGCAAAGGCCCCCCCCTCTGCTGAGGGGAGACGTGCATGGGGGCCCAGTGGTTTGACAGCTGTGGGAGCTTGTGTTGTGGGGCAGGGACAGAGCAGGGCTGACAGAGCGTTCTGGCAGTATGCAGGGCTGGGAGGCTGGCATACATGGTATGTGCAGGCTGAGGATGGGGCAGGCAGTGTCACCGGGGCATCCTGTACCTGGTAGATGTCAGGAACCACTTCGGTGGCGGAGCTCCAGGTTGCGCTGAGCTGGAAGGGCAGGGGCTGGCCCTCCTCGGAGAGCACATGCACGTGCGGGGAGTCCACCAGCATCGGCACCACACTCAGGCGTTCCTGCTCCAGAGGGTTGAACACCACCAGGAACCTGCAAGG